GGTCCAGATGATGTCTGAATCTGACCCGGTACTGCATTTTTGGCTTAGGAGGGCAGCCTCTGCCCGGTGGTCGAGGAACAGGCATCAGACGATGCTCCACGATCTGGTCGATGTCCACTTCGCCATCCATGGTTGGGGGCAGCATTGACCGTCTGGAAGGGAATTGTGCAGACTCTGCGAAAGGTGCTAGCTTTGAGGCATGGAATACAAGGTGTGTACGTAGATGTGGGGGGATGCGAATCACATAGGAAGGTTCGTCCATCTGATCACCCACTACGTCTAAGACCTCCCAACGATCGAAGTACTATGGCATTAACTTTCTGGAAATTCCTAGTTCCTGTCCCAACTCAAAGGATTTAACCCAAACTCGTTCTCCTTCCTGAAATTGAGACGGCCGTCTGTGCTTATTCTCATATGCCACCATGGCATCTTGAGCTTTTCTAATATGCTCTACAGTCTGTTGCAGCATTTGATCATACTTTACAGCAAACTCTATGCTGCCTGGTGCTGCAGATGGTTGAATCTCATGTAGTAGAAAATCTAGAGCGGTTCTAGGCTTCCAACCAAGATGCAATTGGTTGGGGGTCATGCCAGTCGTGCTGTGTACAACATTGTTATACAGGCTGGCAACGAGAGGCAGTTTCTCGTCTTAGTCATCCTGACTTGGCTTAATGTAGTGCCCCAGTAAATGCTGCACTACTTGGTTCATTTGTTCTGCCTGTCCATTTCACGCAGGGTGATTCCCTGATGTCATCTGCAGTTTGGTTCCCGTCTGTTGGGTTGTGCTTTGCCACAGTTCGCTTGTGAAACGTACATCCCGGTCACTGACTATAGACTTAGGTAAACCAAAGTCCCGTACCCAGTTGTCCATGAACAGTCTGACGACATAGTCAGTTCTAGCAATCTCCGACATAGCGATCAGTCTGGCATACTTGGAAAAATGGTCTACTATAACGAAGATGTGCCTTTTCCCTGACCCGCTGGTCACAAGAGTATCCATGAAGTCCATGGACACACTCTGACCAGGACCTTCAGGAATCGGCAAGGGCTTGATGAGCCCGAGCGAAGCCTGAGTCCTTGGTTTGTCCGATTGGCAAACCTGGCAGGTTTCTACGTATCTTTTGGCATCTTGCATCATAGTTGGCCACCAGAATCTCTATTCTAGGTTAGCTGATGTTTTCCTGTAGCCAAAATGTCCACTTGACATCGTGACACTCTCCTAGAAATAAACTACGCAAAGACTCACTATTGGGAACACATAGCCTTTTATTCCCTGCCTTTTCAAGAAACAACAAGTCGTCTACCATCATAAATTCATCCAAAGTCACTTTGTCCTTTGCTTGGAATTTACGAATGATCTCAGACATAACTGGATCTTGCTGATAGGCGTCCACCAATGATCGAGTTAGATCATTAGATGTGCCAAATTCAGTAACTAACGCGCCCAGATAATCTGCCCGACGAGATAACGCATCAACCACTTTGTTGTACTCTCCCTTGATTGGTTCAAGTTGATAGTCATACATGTCTATCACTTGTATCCATCGCTTGAGCGCATCAGAGAGCACACGTTGTGTCTTGATCCAGCGCAAGGTCGCATGGTCAGATCTCACGTAGAAGAATCTGCCTAGGAGATAATGTCTCCAATGAACCAGCGCTCTATATAGGGCATAGAGCTCACGCTCATACGTGGACTTTGCTAGCTTTTGAGATGGCATCTTCTTACTCATATACTCAATTGGTCTCAACTTTGGCCCCTCCTTTTGCACAAGGACCGCACCTATGCCATATTGGCTGGCGTATGTGGTCACAACAAAGGGTTTATCAGGATCAGGAAGTTTGAGGACTTCATAGTGGGTCAGAGCATACTTTATTTTCCTGAAGGCCGCCTCACACTCTTCAGTCCACTCCCAAGGGGTGTCAAGTCGAGTTAGATCTGTTAATGGGGAAGCTATAGTACTATAGTTCTTAACAAACAGACGATAGTAGCCTGTCATCCCCAAAAACGATCTGACCTCAGTAACAGTCTGAGGTCTAGGCCAGTCACGTATCCTGGCGACCTTATCATCATCCGGCCTCAATCCATCCGCTGAGATTTCATGACCCAAGTACAAGATTTTGGTGCGACCGAACTTGCATTTCTCCAAGTTAACCTTGTACTGGTGCTGTCTTAGGACACCTAGCACTATTTTCAAGTGCTCACCGTGCTCCTCTACAGTCCTACTAAAGATAAGAATCGTCGAGGTACACAACGGTAAACTTGTCTTAAGTATTCATGAAATATCCTATTCATGGCATGCTGGAATGTTCCAGGGGCATTGCATAGGCCAAAGGGCATCACCACAAACTCGTACAGACCGTACCTGGTCTGAAAAGCGGTTTTGTGCTGGTCCTCAGGTCTAATAGCAATTTGATGGCATCCAGACTTTAGATCTATCTTAGTAAAGTACCGGCATCCCTGCACTCTATCCAGTAGGTCGTCGATGCGGGGTAGGGGCTCCGCATTCTTAACGGTGATGGCATTGAGGCCCCTATAGTCTATGCAAATCCTCAGGGTACCTCCCTTCTTTGGGGCAAATACGACTGGTGCACCGTAAGGGGAGGTACTAGGCCGAATCCATCCCTTTTCTGTGAGCTCCTTGAGCTGGCGGCAGAGCTCATCCAACTCTGCAGAAGACATCCTATAGATTCGTCCTCTAGGTGCCTTACTACCTGGGACAACTTCTATTGCATGGACGACCTCCCTTTCTACCACGTCTGTAGGCTCCTCAAAAAGGTCGGAATATTGCGCGACGACTGATTCTATCTCTAGGGGTGTTTTAACGGCCTCCCCTTTCTCAAAGATAAAGACTAGATCTCGCGATTCTGCTTATAATAGTTATAGAAAGAGGAGGCACACATGCAGCCGTAGTTTACCACTAGACTGTTAGCTTTGAACTTTGCAGTCTAACGGTCCTACCATTTGGCAGCTTGTGTAACAACACCTTTCTATCCCAAACGAACTTAGGTTGAGCGACCTCGAGGTAGTACATGCCTAGTAGCATATCGAAGGGCAGTTCGTCGCTGACAAGGAATGAGATTTTGTGTCTCACTTCCCCTCCTCCATAAGAGAAGGTATATACTACGTCCTTGACATAGTCTTTGACTAGCATTTGGTGCTTGTTGGCCAGCGTAGAAGCTACAGTTCTGCTAAGCCGCTGCACTTGGTCCCCTAAGCGCAGTCTATCCACACAAGCACGACTGATGAAGTTTCGTGTAGAGCCTATGTCTGCGAAGGCGCCCACCTTGCGGCCACCTACATCAACCTTTACTCTAACTCTTCTAGGGCGTCAGACACATCTCTCGAACAGAGCATCGGTGGGTCTGGATGTGTCTGCGGGGCGATACGTGGGTCACTAGCCCTGGCCAACGCCTGAAGTGGGGAAGGCAATGGTACCACTTCAGCGCGAGTAAGAGCAGCTAAAACTCCTACTGGCCCGAGGTGTTTCCCTGCGAAGTTCTCGCTGAAGCACCGCCAGGGTTTGAAGATAGTCCCACCACTATCAGGGAAGTTACCCTCGTTAGGACTTTCTTACCTCGACACGTTCTGGACGTGTGGCCATAGTTGCCACAGTTCATGCACGTACCCCCAGCAACTCGGTCCCTCCACACCTCATACTCTAAACCAAGTTTCACCCAGGTGGGCGTACCTTGGTCGCCCTGACCCGTGGACTGTACTACCTTCTTTTCCCGGTCCCCCTAGCCTTTTCTTTGATGGGTGCCACGATTCCCCCATCTGAAGTCTCGCTGGCCCCATCATGCTCTGTCTCCTCCCCAAGGTCTGGGAAGTCGTCAATTTCTGTCGCCTGACCATTGTGGTCGACGAACAGTAGCTGCCCTTTCTTCTTCCAGTCCTGGGGCAGTCTCTTCTTCCTACCATTTCCCTGACTCTGATGCGCGGACCCCAATTTTGCCTCTATATCTAAGGCCTTCTTGCTGAAGGAAGCAAAGTTGTGGTGTTCGACATAGGCCTCATCTACCACCTTTGTCCTAACCTATGGAGGCAGACATCTTAGGTGATCTGTGAGGAGAACCTGCTGGTCATAGCGCACACGAGGTACCACGAGCAGACGTTCTACGGTATCCGTGAGCTCACAAACATTCTTGTACCTTCTGGCACAAAGACTGTTGATTGCATCTGTGGCCTTTTGGGCCCCTTGAGGGTCATGCCACCTTTTATACACGGACCGTACAAATTCTTCCAATGCCTGGGCCTGGGCCCAGGCATCGAAGTTCTGACCCTAGGCCATTCAACCAGTGGGCTGCTGACCCTTCTAAAAAGGAGGCAGCCACTACAACTTCTTGCTACGGCCTGGTGAGCTTGTGCCTCACATAGGTAGGCACCGTCCTCACGCAGGTATCCAGGTCCTCATCCTTCTTTCTGTCACCAGAGAAGGGCTTAGGACTCAGCAAGGGTATTTTGGGCAGCTTTGTCCTAACCTATGAAGGCAGACATCTTAGGTAATCTGTGAGGAGAACCTGCTGGTCATAGCGCACACCAGGTACCACGAGCGGACGTTCTACGGTATCCGTGAGCTCACAAACATTCTTGTACCTTCTGGCACAAAGACTATTGATTGCATTTGTGGCCTTTTGAGCCCCTTGAGGGTCATGCCACCTTTTACACACGGACCATACGAATTCTTCCAATGTCTGGGCCTGGGCCCAGGCATCGAAGTTTTGACCGTAGCCCTGTTGCTGCACTAGGTCATTCAACCAGTGGGCTGCTGACCCTTCTAAAAAGGAGGCAGCCACTACAACTTCTTGCTCCGGCCTGGTGAGCTTGTGCCTCACATAGGTAGGCACCGTCCTCACGCAGGTATCCAAGTCCTCATCCTTTTTTCTATCGCCAAATTAGGACTCAGCAAGGGTATTTTAGGCATCCACTGCATAGGTTGCATTCGCCCAGGAGATTGCTGCAGTGGCTGCATAGCCACCAAAACAAGTTGCTGCACACTAACCTGGGCCCGACTTGACAGTGGGACTGTAGTAACCACAGTCGTGGATGGTACGACAGAGACTCTAAGGACCGAACCACAAGTCGCCACATAACCACCTGGAGGGGGCGTGCCAAACATAGGTGAGAATGAGGGCCCAGCCGGCGGCGACGTCATTAATGGACCCGCAACCGATGGGGGAGCTACAGCATACAGAGGCTGCCTCATCATGGGACGACGAGCCTGCAGTGCAGCCAGAATCTGCTTTTGTTCTTCCACTAGTTCAACCAGCACTTCCTGTTGGACAACCTGCACTTCAGCCATGCAAAGAAGCGAGTTACGCAGCGCTCGCATCGCAGGGTCAAGTGTTGACTCATCTAATGCTTCTAATCTGCCTAGCTCCTGTCTCCTACTCCCTAGTCTGTTTTTCTCAGAATAGCTCTTCTTCTTCTCTCTGCTGCCTCATCCAATTTCCGTTGTGGCTCATCCTGAAGTTCTTCTACTTGGAGGATTTCATAATCCTCCGGCGTGAGTTGAGCCTGTTGGTTGACTTGCACGCCAACACTCTGGCTAATAGAAGCCTGAGAACGACTCCGACCGACTCCTGACGAAGTGGCCTGTGAAGAGGCCTGCGACATGGTAGAGGAGGTAGCCATGTTCGTACCGGTACTAGCTATAATTCTAGACCTGGCGCTGGCCTCAGCCACCCTCAATCTTCTTGCCACTGTTCTCTCTCTAGCCCCTCTCCACAATCTTCTCTCGTCTCCTGGACCTAACTCTAGGAAAGTCAAGGATCGACTGAGAGCAGTTCTTCGAGTGACCCTAAGATCATCCACTAACAACGCCTCCTCACTATTGGTTGCATCACTCACGAGCTACAGTATGTGTGATCTAAACTCGAATCCACACTGAATCCTACCTCAGCATGACACATAACCGTGTATGATATACAACTATCTTCGGTTGGCCTGGACTAAATCCAACCCACCCCTGTGCCCCAAGTCAACACTGAACCTGCCAGCCCCTGCACTTTATTTATCCTCGCATGCAACGAGCCTTGATCTAGCTGATCAAGAGGCATTTACGGAGATCCCCCATAACTCCTCAGGAATTATTTAACGTCGCAGACAGGACGACGATCACACCCAGAATCAACACCGAGTCCTCACCAGAAATATTTAGAGACAGTTTGGTAAGCATTTGTTCAAAGGGCTGGCATGCCCTGCATGACCTCTATTGCGCAGCAGCAAAACCAAGGACTTGCGGCAAAGCATGCGTGTACTAGTCCCAGCGGGTTGGCATGGTGACCGGGACCCGAGTGCTTCGTCCAGGGCCCTTTAGAGGCAACGCCCGTCTCCCACCAGCTTGCTGCCCAGGAAGAATGTCGACTCTCAAGGTTGAGCTCTCGCGACACCTCACATTGAGAGGACTCTCAAGACAGAACTCACTTCCTCACGGTAAGAAGCAATGAAGAGGGTAGATAAGGAAGGAAGCAACGTACCTCATAATGCTGCCCCCAACCACATATTTCTCACCGGCAACCTGATGTGCATTTATGATGCCCGGTCTTTGCCTCGACACAACCAACAGCAGAATGCAGTTCCACCTCGGCTTAAATGCCACATCAGCGAGCTCTCATCATCCAGCGTACACCCCTAATGTCACCACATAGCTTCCTGGCGCGCCCACACAACCCTGGGTCGCCTTACGTCCAACGCCCAAGCCTTATCACTGCCCCACACCTCATGTGAAGCACCGAACAGCTATTGCGAAGAACCAATGAGCGCA